GGGGGTGGTGGTGGTGCATGTGGGTGTTGCAGCTTCCCACAGTCCGGCCTGGCTGCTCCGTGGGTCACTTACCTATTTGCTCACACAGCCATCCAAGGACTATTTTGTTGTATGCTTGGCTCTGAGTACATGCATGGTGGTGACTGTGCCCGATTTTTTGACCTCCTGCTTGGTAGCCTGTCAGAATCAGACACACAGTGGTGCTCTCTGAGCCTGTTTACTCACCTGTAACCAAAAGACAGAGTTTCCTACTTTGCAGAGTTGATGTGAGGATTCAATGAGATTATATCTTGCATGTATTCATGCATTCATTCACTCTTTTTGTTTATTGAAGCCCAGGATGCTGGGTGCTGGGGAGTGGGACGCACTAACCAGGCAGCACCCCCCCTCAGACATCACCCGGCCAGCCTCAGGGTGACCGCCTGAATGACACCACAGACCGTGGCTTCATCACCAGCGAGCCCAGGGTCAGGGTCTGCTCCATGCCCGACCGTCAGCTGGAGACCAAGGCCCAAGTGGGCTGGGGGGCACCTGCCAGGGGTGCAGGGGGTTAGGAGCTGCTTCCCAAACCCAGCCCAGAGCTCCCCAAACCTGGACCAGGCAGTTCTCCTCATGTGAGGGGCTAGGGCTTGGAGCCGGGGAAGGGTGTGTGCCCCAGGGCGTCTCCTGGAACAGCTGGAGGCAGAAGTGCCCAGGGATCGGCAGTCTGGCTTTTACCTGGGGCGGGGTGGGGCGGGAGATAAGGCTTCAAAGGCACCTGCCAAGGCACCTTTAGGAGCCCGGCCTGTCCTGCTGCTTCAAAATTGTTTGTGTTACTGGATTGATAGATGGGGGTGTGGGCAGCGTCCAGGCCAGGCCAGCCCTGAACCCTAGCTCCCAGATAAATGGGTCACCTATTAATATGGCCTTGCAGAGCGGCCTGAGGGGCGAGGCTGCCTCCCTCCATGTCTGGGGCCTTTGTCCCCACCCCACCGGCTCCTGATGGCCAGGGCCAGGGCCAGACTGCAGCTTGGGGTTGGCCCAGTCTGCCTGTGGGAGGGGCAGGGGGCCTTGGGATGTCCTTGGCGGGGGGGAGGCACCCCCACATGGCCTCAACACAGGCACCCTTTTCTGAAAAGTACACTTTGATAGCACAGCGGAGCGAGGATGGCTGCCTTCAGAGCACTACACCGTCACAGGCGAGGCCACGGGCCCTTTATGGTCGCTTCCACGCCTCCCGGTCACCTCGCTGCGCGGCCTCTGTCCACTCCTAGGTCCTTCTCTGCATGACCCTCTACCTGTGCCTTCAACCCTGTCAAGTGGACAGTCCGGGCACTCGGCACACTCACAAGTGTGTGCAGCGTCTCCACTGTCGGACCCAGACCCCAAGGAGACTGCGTGCTGGGCAGCTGTGGCTCCTCTGCACAAGCCGCAGCAGCAGCCACGCTGCTCTGTCTCCGCGGACCTGCGTCTTGCAGTCACTTCACGGAGTGCACTCGCATGTGGTCGCTGTCCGGCTTCGTTCCCTGAGCATCATGTTTTCGAAGTTTGCCCACTTTGTGGCGTGAGCCAGTCCTTCCTTCCTCCCGAAGGCTGAGTAATATTCCGTCGTACGGAGTGGCCACTCGGTGCTCACCGTCCTCTGTTGGTGGACACTTGGGGTGTTTCCACCTTTTGGCTGCTGTGAACATGGGTGGACCAGCCTGTGAGCACCTGCTCTCCGTCCTCTCGGGCGTACACCCGGGTGGACGGGCTGGGCCCCGGCGATTCTGTGTGACCGCCTGCGGGACTGCCAGCGGCGTTGGCGATTTAATTGCTCAGCTTGTGAGAACCAGGATGGCGAGCCCTGCACGGCTGCTGGTGGAGTCATCGGTGTTCTTGCTAGAACCTGGGCTGCGGGGGAGCCGGCCCGGCCCTCCTCGGGGGTCTTGAGGGAGAGAGTTAGGAACTGGGTGAGGAGGAGAGGAGAGGTCAGGGGCGAGGCCGCCTGGGCGGGGATCAGGATGAGGACAGTGGGTGCAGAGCTGAAGGCAGCACTGACACTCAGTAATCAAGAGAAAGAACATATTTTTGGGGTTTGCTTTTGTTAAACTTTTAATGGAGAAAATTGTGGAGTCACATGCAGCTGCAAGAAATATATAGGGGGCCCTGTGTGACCTTTTTATAAAAGGTGTCCCCCAGCAATGGCATGTTACCCAAATTTGTTTGTGAGAGAGCGTGTGCATGCGCTAAATGTTTTATTTCCTCCTACAGAGTCAGGATGAGCATGTTCCCAGCACCCTCCTGGGACTTTGCCTCCCCCTTTTACAGCCACACCACCTCCCTGCTTCCCTGTCGCTACACCTGCAGCCACTGCTCTGTTCTCCATTTCTGAAGTTCTCATTCCAAAAATATCAGCTGCATGGACCGCGCCGTAGGTAGCCATCCGAGCCTCGCTTTTCTGCTCAGGGCGTTATGTGTCTGTTCACCTGCTTCTTCCCCGTGGCTGCTGAGCAGAGCGCCATGTGGGACGGACCCCCACTGAAGAGGCGTCCATGTAAAGTGTGGCGAACACTCGTGGACAGGTTTTTGTGTGGGTGAAGCTTCATCTCTGTGGATCCATGCTGGGTGCAGCCACTGGGGCCTATGGCAGTTGCATGTTTAGCATGTAAATAATTGCCAATATTTTAATGCAATATTTTAAAAGAGCAAAATCTTCTCTGGCCGGTGCTCAGTTGGTTGGAGCATTGTCCCCATACACCAAAAAGTTGTGGGTTTGATTCCTGGTAAGGGCACATACCTAGGTTACAGGTTTGATTCCTGGTTGGGGCATGTATGGGAGGCAACCAATTGATATTTATCTCACATCAAATTATAAAAACATATCCTTGGGTGAGGATAAAAAAGATCAAAACCAATAGAAAAACCTGCAATGAACAAAATATCAAAGTTTTAAATAAAGACAAGACTAGGATGAGGGGACCAAAGAGCTCACACTCAGGGGGTGTGCAAGCACAGGGTGGAATCTTTTCG